ATGACTTCTTCATGCTGAACAGGGGTGTTGATGTGAAGGGGGAAAGGGAGCACACTTTATCACTTTACTGGTGTTCTTGGGTTGAAGCTGCTCGCCTTCTTATTCTGTTAGAAGATATTTTCCTGACATTTACTCCCCTCTGTACTGCAAAGTGTTTTCCCAGGTGGGTCCAGTGGGGATGGCTGACTGAACCCTGAGGCTTCATTCTCCTTTGCTTTCTTAACTGGCCGTTGTATTTCCTTTTTGTCTCTGGAACTGGGTTCAGGGTCAGGTAAGGAGTAAAACTCAGTGTTAAGGTTACCTATAGAAAATGGAGCAAATCTCGAGGAAACAAACTTGTGAGTTACAAATAGAGGGGCTTTCGGGGTACCCTCCATAAAATTCTCTGTATACCCTAGGCAGTTTTTTCTACCCAGGGTTCAGATGGCACAACCCGAGAGCTGAGAAGCTCACCCCGAGGGCCAGCTCGCCCCTGCTACCAGGGGCCAATCAAATAGCTTGTCTCGAAGGCCAAATGACAACCCCCGTGGGCCTGGCAACACACCCCAGGGGCTGGCTGGTACACTTCCCCCCAAGTTCCCCCCCACCGAAGTCTGGACCCCTTGCCTCACTGAAGACCATGTGGCCAGGGGCAGCATCCCCAATTCCAGTACTGCCACCATTACCCCCCCATAAGTGGTCATACTGTAATTTGAAGTAGATGTCACTGCCATCCGCCTTTATATGTGAAGGGGACCTGAGAGTAGTGAACAGACCCTCCCCCCCCAGGTCTAAACAGTTCTTGGCAAAGGCAGACAGCAGATCATAAGATGGGGTGCACTGAGGATATCTGCTGTCTCAGACTTGCTGCCGTTAAATGTTGCTGAGTCATAGACTGCTCACAGAGACTCTCATCAGTCCATTGTACTGATAATCTTCCTTTCTGCCCTGCTCAGGGAGACCCCAACCTGCTGCCCTGTCTCCCGCTGCTGCCATCTTGGCTCCAAGAATTCTCCCCAGAACAAATGGTGGTGGGGCAGCTCCACTGCACCAGCCTGGAGGGAGGGGTGGAGGGCGGGGGGGGGGGGCGGTGCCTACCATCCATCTCGGGTGAAG